TCGAACGGTAAAAAGAGCTTTTTACATGGGACGTTAATTTCATAGTCTAGGGATGGAAACAATTTCATAAATTACTCACGGAAAATAATTATAACAATTAAAAAATGATATAATTTAAAATTTTATAAAAATATATATAAATTAATAAAAATAAAAATAGTTTTATTCAATATATTAAATTTATCCAATAATTTTTATATTTATAAAATATCGGACCCCAAACAAACGTTAACAAAGATATGAAATAGTTTACAGCCCTGCGTATTTTCATTGGATACCCTTTCATTTTTTATTCTTGGTTGAATGATCTGACTCACTCACTCGCTAACCTAAGACGTGGCCCACGCTCCAAGGTAAAGGTAAACATTTATCAGATTCGGATAGGAACTAAGTCCTCTCCGATTGGAGGTGACTGGGTAGTTGTAACAGTAACTCTTTTCAACATTAAATTTTTTTAAAAAATAGAAATAAAATACGAAAAACTAATTAATTATTGGTCCGTGACATCGCGTGAAGCATGATGGATGATGATAAGAAATGGCGAGGCGTATGCATGAAGATTCAAAAATAATAATTAAATAAAAAAAGAGTGCAACTGGGAAGGACAAGGTGGGGCCACATGGGACAGAGAAAAAAACTCTTCTTGTCGCTGTTTTGTACAGTGATGGGACCCTTTTAGAAAAGATGGGGACCCACCACTGATGTGAGATGCTGATGGGGCTATGCATTGTTTGCCATGTCTTTTAGATAAAATCAAATAATGATGATGGATGGCATTTGGCATGGGATGTGCAAATCATGAACAGTTATATCATCATGGATGATAATAGATGGGGACAGGTGCGGTGTGTGATGATTTGAAGATCATGCGAATGAGATGCCCGCCAGCTTTGATTTTTTTTTTTCTTTTATTTCTTTTTGCCCTTTGAAAGAAGGGAAAATTACAATTAAAAGAAAAAATAATGGAAGGGAGAATTACAGTTGAAGGCGTCTTTCTTTGGATATTTTCATACTTTTGCTTCGTGAAGAAGCAATTTTCCATAAACCAACAAGAAAGATAACATATTCCTTCATGTACAACTAAAATTACAAAATTTTATTTCAATTTTGGAGGAAGAAGTTTTAAATTTTGACTTTTTAATCTGAAAATATAATATAATTATCGATGATTAAATATAGGGATTTGATTTTAAATTTATTAAATATTATTTTTTATGAATAATTGCATAATATTTTTAAGTTACGAATTAAAAAAATTCAAGCTTTTTTATAAGTGATGATGAAATAAATGTTAAATGTGAACATTTATTTATTTATTTTTTCAAGTTTGCATTTTGACAACTTTGGAGGGGCCGTGCCGTATCCGATATGATCATTCTTGTGGCTTAAAAAGCTACTGAATTAGACAATTTCTGGTTAATTTGGAGTCCTCTTTGTTGATATTTCTTAGGAGTTGAAGTGAAGTGAACGATTGTGTGCGTGATTTTCACGTCTCAACTCAAAGTGGAAAATTACAAGACCAGCAATAGCATGGTTTCATATTTCAAAATTAAAAATAAATGACATTATCCAAACTCTAGGTCTTCATTGAGGCAGTAAATTCAACAAATCAGGTATTTCAACGTTGATTTTAACAAAATTTTAAGTAAAATTAACTCCAAACTGCTAAAGTTTCGAATTTTCTACGATTTGAATGCCAATTCATAAATATTGGAGGAGTCAAACATTAATAAGTTTTAATTTCAAATCTCAATTATCTCCATTTCTTTGTCTATGACAACGAAAGAAAACTAATTTTATTCCACTTTTGAAGGAGTTGCTCCATAGAATTATTCAAAATATCTATAATTTAAAATTTGATATTTAATTCAATTACATGATACTTTGAAAACAATATTAAGTATCAATGAAATTTTATTTTAATGGCAAAAAAAAAATCCTAAAATTTTAAATTTAAGTCCCGTTGTACTTGATTTGGTTTGCCTAATTATAATTTAATTTGTTGATTAATTTATAAGTTTATATTTGATATATTATTAATATATAAAATTTATATACTGTCAATAAATCAAATAATGATAATTTATTAATAAAATAAATCAATGATAATATTTAATTAATAAATAAAATTTTTAAAAAATTTTAATTTATTATTTTAAATATTAATATTTACTCACAAATAAAATATCGTTATTTGATTCATTGATAATATATTAAATATAAAATTTTAATTAGTTTATTTAATTATTTAATAATTTTTTAATAATTAACGTGATTTTTTTTTAATTAAGGAGGACATAACCTTTAAAAAATAAAGAAAATTTTTTTATGTTTTCTATAAAACTTTCTTAGTCATTAAATAAAAAAGATAAAAGACTATTAACGTAATATTTGATTATAATTATAACTTACATTTAAAATTTAATAGTTATAATTTTTATTATTTATTTTCAATCAACGATCTGTTTTATTAAAAAAAAAAATTTGCAATTGGAGTTGTCAATTTTAATAGAGTAAATGGGTACGGCTATAGCAATTATGTCAACTGTTTTTGAGAGTATGAAGCAAGAATCAAGCAGCTGCACCACAAACTGGGCATCTAACCAAAAAAATACTTGTTGGTGGACAAAACACACAAAATATCCCCCCATGGCTTTATTATTATGCATTCCTTCCCATCACTTCGGTCAATTTAAGGTTGTTCTTTCCCCGCCCCTCAACTACACCACTTTGAATTTGTGCTACTTTACCCTTTTTTTTTTTTCTTTTTTTTTAATTTCCATTTCAAATTCTTTTCATATTGTGATCACACAAACATATACGGCATATCACTTTTTTTTTCTTGTCAATTGTAATATCATGATCAAAGATATCTTCTAATTTTGTTGACTAATTCTTTTTTCAAATAATCTCAAAAACATAATTCGATATTTCAAATTTTTATTTTCTAAATATTTTCATAAGAAATACTTCATAATATCTCCCTGAAAGGCATAAATTATGTGAAGATTCGTCTCAAATTTATTAGGTATTATTTGCTTTAAATAAAAAATTTTGTAATTTTATCTTAAAAAATATATCACAAGTTTTAATTTAAGTTTCAATTTATATATTATAGCAAAATTTTAAAATATTTTAATATAAAATTAAAGTGTTATAAATTTTTTATTAAAACTTGATGTTTTTGTTAAGTTTAACATAAAATACACATAAAATCATATAATCATACATACAGAACCAAAATTATTTCAAATATTAGAGTTTTGATGTGATCAACTTATGATATGTTATTTGTTTTAATTTAAAATTTTTTTAATTTTATTTTATAAAAATTATTTTATATGTTTAAATTTAAATATCAATTTATATATTATAAAAATTTTTAAAATATTTTATTACGATATTAGAATATCTCAAATTAACCCAAAATTTTTTAAGATTTATCAAGGTTGGGTGGCATTAGTCATTAGGGCAAAGTACATTTTTTAGGTGATGAATGATTGAAGCGTGCCATTATCATTAAATAATTAAAAAATGGGGGCAATTGGCCCAAGCAAAGCAACTATGACGGATAAAACACCGGGGAAAGAAAGTGGTCGGTTGGGGTGTCCAAATCAGATTCCCAAAAACCACAGAAAAGAACCGAAGTACGTGTACGACATTGCCATTTAAGAGATCTGGAGCTTTTTCTATACAGCCTGGCTTTGATAGTTATTTGTCCTTTTTTTTTTTTTTTTTCCTTTGCTTTCTACAACATGAAATTGTTGTTGGGCCTTTGGCTCCAGCACATCTGCACATGTACAAAATATCCCAAAATGAATACAAAAAAACCCCACCAATGGCAGTTAGTTGCATTTTCATTTGCATGGACCCTCTCTCTCTCTCTCTCTCTCTCTCTCTCTCTCTCTCTATCTGATCTTCTTTTCTTCAAATTATGGCTGTTTTTTTAGTTGGTTTCTTAAGATATTTTTAAACATTTGAATCTGAATTTGATGCAATCAATTCTTTTTATTTTTTCTAGAAAAGTTCAGAAGAAGGGTGATTAACTCATATCTAAAATTAAAATAAATCATCAACTTAATTAAAAATTACGGATTTATTAAAATTTTATATGTGAATTTTTTGGATTTACAAATGACCTATCCATAAGAAACTGTGAAAAAACTCGAATCCTGATATTTATATCAAAATCTCATCCCTTATCACTTTTGCCAACTTTCCTTGCCATGAATTCCTCTTTTTTTTTTTGGTTTAATCAAGCACTTTCATTTGATTAGTATGCTTTGAGTTAGGAATTGATCAAATTGACACCGACAAGTCATTTGGATGTTACGACTATAACAATGAATAAATCAAAAGATGTCAATTAACATAGGCAATATATGGTGGCTAAATGTTTTCTTATTGACACGTCTCTTCTAAAAAAGGTAAAAATTTCTGATCATCCTTTGCAAGCCAAAGATTTTTCATGAGGGGCCAAAAATGATTTCAGGAAAAGAAATATTTGTATTAGCAACTTGATAACACAAGCTTTGAGCCAAAGATATTTTCAACACCACGACAAATGTTGTCAATGATTGAGGAAAAAAGAGGGAGAGATCAACAAGAACTTGATGGCAATCTTTGCCATAGTTGATTAAAAATGAAAAACCAGTCCTTTTGGTTTGGAAAAAACATAAAAAAAATCAGTGTGATAAGCTGTTGGGGGTCAGTCCATTTCTATCTCTGCATGAAACATGAGCGTCGGTGTGGAAAAGATGTCAATATTGCTTAGCTAAAGGGGTTGTAAACTTGGTTGATAAGATTTATACTGGAAACTGAAAGTTTGTCACCTTTTCTTCAACTATATTTCTTGATCTTTTACATAAGCAATTGGTTGTTCAATGCTACACAATCATTGAAGAAAAATAAGAGGGGAGAAAAGGGTCAGAATATAAACTCTTTGGATCATTCAAGGAAAATGGTGCTGTCTTTTTTTCTTTTCTTCCATTGTTTGATTTCATGCCATTCATTGCACCATAAATTCAGAGGTCAAAAACAATGTCTTGAGCACTCTTTGAAGTGAAATATGTCTCCCAAAATCTTGTCACTCATCAACATGATCTGAAATAAATCACCATCTTTCATATAATTTTGTTTTCCAAAAGCCAAAGAATTTAGGAATTTCCAGCATAAAAACAGTACCAGAATCCCTTTACTGACATGGAAAAGAAATGGAATTTGCTACTCTATTTCTGTCAAAGAAGGAAGGAATGAAACTCTAAAAATATTCCTCCTTATCGTTTACCAAGCCTATATAAAATTTTCAACCCTTGAGATTCCTTATAAAAGAAAACTGGATATCTTTCATATTGCATAGCAACAACTGTGATCATTATTGGGGAGCTTTACTGTTGATTTAAAGTTTTACCAGTTGGTTGGCACCATAAATTAATTCCTATTGGTTCTTTTTACAACATTTAGCAAAGACAAATTTTGGTGAGGAATTCCATTTCTTACACTGAAAAATTTCAATGCAAACTCAAATATGGAATTTTTTATCTGTTTCCCAGAGTCCTTTAATACAAAGCTGGGTTGGCCCAAAAGGAAAGCTCTGGCTTTCTGCATAAAATTTGGGCTAGTGTGCACCAATCTCTACAGCTTGGGTAGGTTGCAAGCTGCAAAGAACTGACCATTGAGTTGTTTGAAAATAGCTTGCAATTGTTTATATTTTTTTGGCCACAGGTTTGAATGGATATTTGCTATACTTTATGGTATTGTTATATGAGATCAGTTACAAATTGGAAGCAATCTGGCCCCCTTGAACTTGAAGGGTTAACCCCAGAAAGATTCAAAGACCATTGCATATTCTTCGATGCTGGTTGTAACAGATTGCTGGATCAATTAAGCATCTTCAAGTTCAATGTGAAATTACTTATGCGACATGAGATTTTGTAATTGAGCTCCAAGAGCCAAGATGATGTACGTGTGAAGTGAACCCAGCCTCCTGCAAGTACCAAGTTTAACTGATGAATACAAAAACAGGGTGTTGAAAAGATTTTGCACAGTTCAAACCCACCGTGAATAAAATAAAGAAACAAGTTAACAAACCATAACAAATTAACAATCCAAAAGCTGTCTGCCAAGGAGCCCTGACCCTGGCTCATGAACTTAGCCAATGTTATTCAAACCCTCAAAATTTGGCCCCAATCTATCAACCATCATTTCTGTATTAAAATCATGCAAACAGACTTCTGAAATCTCTCAAATCCAAGGCTGCATCATCAAAGCTGGCCTTGACCGTGACCCTTTCATTTTAAGTAAGCTTGTTCTGGCTTCTTCACTGCAAGACGTAAAATATGCAGCCTCCATTTTCAAGCAAATTCAAGACCCAAATCTCTTCATGTACAATTCTATCCTTAGAGGCTACTCAATTAGCAATGACCCGAAACAAGCTTTTAGTATTTTCAATAACTTGAGAGCCAAAAACGGGATTTTGCTAGACCAGTTCTCTTTCATTACAATTCTTAAAGCCTGTAGCCGTGAATTGGCAATCTTTAATGGTCAAACGATTCATGGCCTAGCTTTGAGATCTGGGCATTTGTTTTTCATCAATGTTAAGAATACCCTTTTGTATGTTTACAGTGTTTGTGGAAGAATTTTTTATGCCCATAAATTGTTTGATGAAAATCCTGATATCAACGATGTGGTTTCCTGGAACAGTTTGATGGGTGGGTACCTTCATGTTTCAAAGCCCAATATTGTCATAACTTTGTTCAGACAAATGCGTTGGAGTTGTTTGACAATGACTGTTACTACATTTTTGACTGTTTTGTCTGCTATTGGTGAAGTAGGTGATTCACTTGGAGGAGAGTCACTGCACGGGCATTGCCTGAAAGTTGGATTTTGTTTTGATTCACATCTGGTGTCTGCTTTGATTGATATGTATGCGAAAACTGGGAATGTTTGTTTAGGGCGTAGGGCTTTCGATGAGGTTGTTGCAAAGGATGTTATATTGTGGAATTGCATGATTAGTAAGTATGCAGAAAGTGGCCTGCTTGAAGAATCTTTAGCTTTACTACGGCTCATGAAAGTTAAGCAAGTAAAGCCTAATTCGAGTACATTGGTAGGATTGCTGTCAGCTTGTGCTGCCTCTGAAGCTATAACTCTAGGACAGTGCATCGGTAGTTATGTGGAAGAGGAAGGTTTACCGCTGGATGTGATTATTGGGACAGCTCTTGTTGATATGTATGCTAAATGTGGGGTTTTAGACAAGGCTATTGATGTTTTTGAGAGGATGGAGAGCAAAGATGTAAAATCATGGACAGCGATGATTTCAGGTTATGGAATTCATGGTTTGGCGCGAGATGCCATTAGACTATTCTATCGAATGGAGGAAGAAGGCTTTAGGCCTAATGAAGTCACTTTCTTAACAGTTTTGAGTGCTTGCAGTCATGGAGGGTTGGTCACAGAGGGGATGAATTGTTTTGACGGGATGATCAAAGAATATGGTATTTTACCGAAGATTGAACACTATGGATGTATCATTGATCTTTTTGGTCGTGCTGGATTGCTAGAAGAAGCACATAATTTTATCAAAAGGTTGCCCATTAAAGGTGACGCTACTGCATGGCGAGCATTGCTTTCAGCTTGCCGAGTCTATGGGAATGTTGAATTGGGGGAACGTGTGAAGGGTGTATTGGCTGGATTTGATAATGAACAACATCCCACGGATTCAATCCTTCTTTCTAGTACTTATGCTATTGCAGGAATGTTGCCATATCAGACAAGAATGCAGGCAATGGAAAAAGATTTGTTTAAAGACGCTGGAACTAGACCAGCTGGAAAGAAGGAAGATAAGATGATTAAGGAAGCTGGATGCAGCACAATTGAGATGGATAGTGAGGGGTTTGAACTTAATTGCCAACAGACCTGACACAATTAACCTGGATGAACCAGTTAGCCTTAAATGTTTCTTTATTTCTTTCTAGACGAAACAAGGATATTGAATTAAGTGAATTGCTGGAAAATGCAGCTTCTTTTGGCAGTCCTCCATATTAATTTCGTGGATTCCAAAATGAGGGTGCAAGTGAATGTGTATGGCCTCTGAGAAAATCTACAGTTTCCAGGAGATAGGAAGAGGGCTACGTAAAATGGCAATGCCAGTACCCACCCATTCTTCTTCAAGAGAAACCAATGGTGTTGAAGCTTCATAACTGATATGCATTTTTGGATATCATGCCCTTCACACACATTAGCTCCATTTTCAGCCCACCACTTTTCTGCTTGTTCTTCTGTGAATTTTTTGCGACTGTAAAAGAGCATAAAATCCTTAAGTACAATTTGAGTCAAAATTTCCTTTCTCAAGCTATTCAAGTTCTTGTTATGTATAAATGCACAGAGACTTGAATACACTACACTCTTCATGCGAGTAGCTTCTTTTTGCTAGAAAACTTAAGAACAGATGACAGACGGAATGAAGTAACATTTTTTACAACATTTTTTGCAGAGTGCTTGACGTTCTTAGGCAGTAATATAAATGAATCTACCAAGCCAAAAGCTGAAAATTCAAGAACCCATTGACGTTTTGAGGCTTAAACATCAAAGCAAACTCTTTGACACTTACGAAAAAGGCAAAGCAAATGGCTATCATTCTAATAAAAACAATTAAGAGCTGTATGCATCAAGCCAGCTTGCTTTTGCTACTTACCATTCAAGGACTCTGGCAAATGTAAGTTCAAAAACTGTAATAATAGAGTAGAGGGCCCAATATGTCAGCGATTGTTGTTGATTGTTTCTAGACCTCGTCTCAGTAGCCTTAATTGGAGCGCATCTACAAAAAGTGACAATCTTTGAAAGTGTTAAAACAGATACCGATAATGTTAAGGTTGTACTTAATTTGTTCAAAGAAGGATAATCCCACTTATAGAGGATAAACAAGAGAGACTAAAGGCCTGCAATCCAGGAAAAAAAAAATCTCACTTTTAAAAGAAGACAAGAAGCAAAATGACAGAATCTTTGTTAAGTGACAGAAGCATTAAGTTTAAGGGAAAGGTGGTAAAAAGAGGCATACAAAGCAAGAACACATCAAAGTTCTTGGCAACAACTTGAAGGACGTTCTGGGAACCCATCAGTCAGCCCTTGTTTTTGCTTACGATGCATGATCTTAGTCCTTAGCAACAGCCGTAGATTTTGGGGTACCAAGACAACTTGAATAACATGTGTTTCTACTTTGATGGTCCAAACAATTCAAATGTTTTGTGGTATCTTATCACATCATTGCAAAAGGTTTAGAACATGGGGCATGATTCTTTTGAACTTGTCCGACATATTTTTCATATTTACAAATTTGTAGGATATGTTTCATAGGAAGGAGGAAAAAAAATCATAGAAGGAATATCGAAAATAATTTCATCCAATTATTGAGTTATGCAATTGAGTATAAACATTTCATACATAGCTCAATTATTGGAATCGGAAAAACGTTTTACATATGTTTGATATTTCAGCTATATATGATTTTTGAAAGAGTTAATTTGTAAACTGTTGAAGAATATTGTTTGATTGATGATGATTGTAATTTTCATTTTATGTTAGAGGAAATTCTTACAAAGAAGAAAATAATCGGAATATATATGAGAAATCATCACATTCATTAATGGAGTTCTCAAATTTTACAAATCGTTGAAAAAAGCGATTGATGCCGATTCCAGTTTTGATTGATATTTGTAGTAAAATTGGGCCTTTGAGGAGGCTTTTTCATGTAGGAAAACGTTGCATCACCGGTGGATTTCGATTATTTAAAAATTTTTTTAATTGGATTTTAGGTTGGATAATAATAAAAGAATTTTTAGGGTTGAATTTTAGGTAAATCTGTTTGGATCCGACCTTATATATATTTATAAAAAATTATTTTTAATTATTTATTTAATTTTATATTTATATATATTTTTTATATTGATTTAAATTTATATTAAAAAATAATATTTTATTAATTTTTAATTGAATCAATCGTGTACGATTTTATATAATATCATTCGAATCAAATTTAAGTATAAAATAATTTAAAAAAATCAAATCTAATAAAATATAATAAATATAAAATCGAGTGAGTAAATAAAAACTTATTTCTATCCAACCTGACCTGTTTCCATCTAGTTGCATTTGAGTTTTGTACTGTTAATATTTATTGTATCATGTTACCTTTTTTTTCTTCGGTTTAGCAGAACCAGCTCAGCAGAAAATTTCTGTTGAATGGTCTGGAAATAGAAACTGATCAGCCATGCATGATCATAACATTGAATTTAAGGTCTAGGCCCACTTTAACATTTGGATTAGACTAGCTTTAAGCACTAACGACGAGTCATGGCCATTGAACTTGATTTTGATTCCTGCTGTTAGATCATGCACATATGACTCAGAAAAAGGTACGGAAGAGAGAGTGTCACGTTGCATTTAATGCTCTACAATGGTACTGGTTTAAAAAATAGTAACAGAGAAAACATACTATTATATGACTAAAGCAATTGATCAGGGCCATGTGGTGATCTGCTGATAGGGATGCTTATCGATAAAGTGATATATTTTTAATTTTAATTTTTAATTATATGTAATTTTAAATATAAAAAAATTAATCAAAGTCACAAAATTAATGATGAAAAGAAATTTTCACCGTTTCATTATGTTGTTTTGAAATTGAATCTGACTCTTACCTACCATTCAAATAAAGCCTAGTAAATACCATTGATCGATCAAAAGGTTTTTACTATTGATCGATCAAAAGGTGGCCACCACTTGATTAATTAACAGCATGTGGAAAGTCATGACATAGCACTTTGAAAATGTGTTATATCAGCATCCTTCTCGCTCTCTCTCTCACTTTATAATTCAGCATTAATGTTGAAACATGAAGAGCAATCGATCATGTACAAGTCCTACCTGATCAGTATTGCGGAGTGTGTGATTAATGAAAAACATGAACCAATCTTTTTCTTCTTATAGAGTACGAAGTAGGTAGCTGATGACACTACCCAATGTTTATTAGTATTACTGATATATCCTAAACAGTAGTCATCAGACCTTGTTATTTCATAAGCTTACATCTGCTCTTAAAAGCCCCATCTGATACTTTTTCTTGGAATGGAAACTCTTGCAAGTCTAGAATTAATTAATCCCTTATAGCTTTTGCATACCAACAACATGCAATTTGAGTTGAAATCATGTGACTGGTATTTAGCTTGTTAGTTTGCGTAGAGAGGGCAGTGATTAAGTGTGACTACCTTATTTGGAAAATCTATCAGCCACTCTTTTTGAGAATGCCTGAACCTGCATGGAAATTGAAATGTTGTCCAAAAGAAAAGGTTTCCCAATTCAGAAAACCTTGTTCAACTCAAAGAGAATCACCATTGCAGCAATGCTGCCCTTGGAAATATAAGTAGAGAAAAAGAAGAAATAGCTGATGATCTTATAATTCACCACTTACAGAAAAAGAAACAGCCAATGATCTTAAATGCCTAGAAGACTTGAATTACCTGCTATGCAGTGACCGGTTAAAAGGGTTATAAGAGAGAAATCCATCAAAATCAGAATGACCCACAGCTTGATGAAAGGTTCAGAGATGAATAAATACATGGTGACAGGTAGGGACAATAATAAACCAACCAATCAGTCTCTATATCACCAGAAAACTTCCTTATATGAAGAAGAGGCGGATTGATCCTCTTGTTAGTTAGTGATATTGCTTACTGTTTTTAGTGACCTGCATACCCACAAGGGGGACTCACCAGTCACCACCTGAAAGAGAGAGAGAAAGTAAACCTCAAAGGCTCAATGTGATCACCTGTGGGCTCCCTCTCTATTCTTGCAAATTGACTGAACTTTTTGCTGATCATCTAATGGCATCATGAATCACAAATGCCCGTGGCAGCTTCAAATAATGCAGAATTAGGGAAGCAATACGTGGATTGTGGAGATCAGATCAGTCCAAATGGTGAACAGTAAGTAATGCACTAAAACCCTGAAACCCCCAATCGCTATTCTCACCATTTTAGTGAAGGATTAAAGCTTTAATGTTAACAGGGAGAGAGAGAGAGAGCTATGATGAGTTTGTTACACCTAACCTGATATCAATCGCAAAGTTGTAATGAAACTAATTAGCTATGCAGTACATCGCATGCGTATCTAGCCTCTTTCCCTTGAACATAAAGATTAATTTTTTATTTAATGTTGAAGATTTTAACAATTTATCATTGATATCAAACTATTAATAGTGCTAATATAGTTATAATATTCATATCAAACCCTAATTAATTAGTTTCTCATTACTCAGTACTCACACCAAATCGAATATCACACTCAATTTCATAGCATTCAAACTTTCAGCCGTTTTGCAAATTGAACAATATATGTACTATAAAAATAAGAGAAAAAAGAATAAAGCATGATCAAGCCATACACTTGTAATTTTGAGCTAAAGGCATGGCGAGACTCTATCTAGTTGAATCATGCCTATCTTCTCCACCATGGTGTTGATGTGATCCACTGGCTGAAGACTCCGAGACACTGGTGCCTGGAATCGGCCTATATGAATTTAGTGCGGTGAGGACGCCTAAATGGCTGTCGGTAACTAAACCACCGGCACCAATTCCTGAACCCAATTGTTGTCCAGGCAGGAGAGCCATTGGAGTTGCAAAATTCATAAAATGCACCCCACTAGACATATTACCTCTATAAAGATTAGTATTACTAGCTGAAGGAAATGTCCACAAAGGATCCCCAGTGCCACTCCCGCTGACCACCTGGTTGCTAGGATTTGTCACCATCCAAAATGTTGTCGGAATCGGATTATGGCTCGCCGGAATTGAACCTGTACTTGATTGTATCAAGGAACTCCCCACTTGATTTTGTGACAATTCTTGTTGCTCAGGCCTTCTCTTCTTCCCTATGCTAGTATCAGCCGCCACCTGCGTGACATCCAAACTAGCGTCCCGATACTCTTGCTTAGCTTGCAAGAAAGCGTTCACACTACTACTACTTGGAAAGTTTAATGAATCCTCTGACGGTAAAGCAACCCCAGGAAATAAAATCCTCCGTTGTTGCTGAGATGAGTCGTCAAGCACAGTCCTTTCCCAATCACTTCTTATCCTCAATTGTTGCGTAGAAAAGTTCGGATTGAAATAAGTATTCCTCAAGTGGGAAGCCGATATGCTGGAACCTGAACTCCTGAGTGAAATATTAAGGGACGTAAAATTTGCAGGAATAGTACCTGTCCCCGTGGCAGCAATAACTGCAGGCTCAGCCTGTTGAAGCAGCCATTCAATGGTTTCACCATCTGATTTGTGACCAAGCTCTCTTGTTAACTGGAAAACCCTAGCAGCACATGTGGCAGGCATGCGGATGCGGCGGCCTCGGCCATCCACCTTGGTGTGTCTGTCCTTGGAAGAAGACCTCTTAGCAGGGGGTTTCTTGGGAGGTTCCAAGCTTGTTTTGGAGCTTGTCTCCGCGTTGCTGGTGTTGGAACAAGGTTGTTCTTGTTCTTGTTCCTTCTTCTCTAAAAGCTGTAAAGGGAAGTTTGGCCTGCGGATCCCATTTTCAGTTTCACCATCCATGATCATGCGTGGGATTATACGTCTTTTTTCCTCTTTCCAACCCACTCCCTCCCTTTTTTTTTCCTACTAGTACATAATTTGTAGGTGACCCTCAATTCAGTGACTTGGTGGCCTAGTGGGTCTCTCTTTTCTCTTTCTATCACTTTTTCTTGCAATATTTTTTGTAGCTTCGAATTCCCTTCAGATGGTGAAGCTGGCAGCTGAGTTGTTTTCTTTGCTTTTCTCTCAGCAGAGAAAGAGAAAGGATAAGGGAAGAGGGCAAGCTTTAAGCAACAAATACAATGAGTGAGAATTATAAGGGTGGGCTAAGAAAAGCAATGATTCTTTTGGGGTTGGAAATATTTTCTTTCATTGAGGATGTGTTTGTAATTTTCTATTTTCTAAATTTTTTTTACATGCATATCTAATTTTTGTTACAAAATAAATAAATAAATAAAAATTAAAAAAAAAACCCTAAACTTCTTTATTGTGGTTGGACAGTCCCTTGATTAAGACTCCACGTGCGGTGCTGTTCATCATTCAATCTATAAAAGACAGTGGTGGCCTGCGTTGGGGCCCCATCCCCTCAAGTCAAAAAAACTGAATGAAATGAAAGAAAGAAGATATCTTTCTCTCATTAAAACCAAACAAAAGAAAAACAAAGCAAAAAAAAAAAAAAAAAGATATATAATCAAGTGGCTCCCATCCCATTCTTACAATCATTGCCCTTTTTCACCTTTTGCCCTTAATTTTTTTTTTAAATATGCTTTTGCCACAATCAATTCCATTGTCTAGGTTTAAGATGAGGATTATACTTCTCGTTTTGATGCATATAAAGTGTTTTTAATCCATGAAAGCGTATTCTTATTTATTTTATTCAATTAAATTTCAAGACTTTTGCTCTATGATATAATATAATGATGTCTTTTTAGAATTTTTTTGGGATTCTCTTTTATGTATGCAAGATTTTTATGTGTTAATGAAACTTAAAAAACTAATTATCATATAGTAGATGAAAGTGATAGTTGTATATTACTATATGTTTGGTAGTATCTCATCAAGTGAAAAATCGAATTAAATGGTTTCTTAAATTTATGTTATTTTGATCGGTGAAAAGAAATTTTTATTGTGTCATTAAATCATTTTATTATTAAATTTTATTAGTCATTTAAATAAAATATTATTATTTTTTAAAATTTTTTAAAATTTTTTCTTTTCATAAATTAATTTTCTCTTAATCAACAAGTTTGTCAAAATGGATAATTTTTTTGCTAATAAATTAGATGATTAAACTTGTGCTTGAACTGCTTTCTTTCTCAATGGCTTTATCTTGAATAAATCAATGTCCATTAATTTGCTGCTGGCTATCAAACATTCATAAACAAGATTTTGATATGGGTACTCATTTGACCCCAATTTCAAAACGACACGATAACATAATAAAAATCTCTCTCACAGCGACATGATGATATAATAAAATTTTCTTTTTCATCGTCTATTCAAATGTCATTGTAATTGAAGAAATCCCAAAGAATATCTAGTTCAGTCACAAAATTCTTCTAATCAAATTTTTTAGTTTCAAAAGAAGGATAACTGATGCACTAATCTTTCAGTAGATTTCTGAGTCAATAGCCAACACTTTTGAGGTCCATCTTTGCACATGTGAGCCATACACAGTCTATAAGACATGTGGTCCTTTTAAATTTTCTTTAAAAAGTTCATATTCCCAAAATTTTCCTTTTTTTTTTTTAAATTTTGCCATAAAAGGCTTTCCAACTCAATATTTTTTTGTAGAAGAGACCTATTTAGTAAGACCAATAGTCCTAATCTTAGGACCAACTGACTTACCCATAAGGAATACATATGTTGTTCATGAAGGTGAAAATATATACCTTTCAAAACCTTTTCTATATACAGCTATATTATGATTTTGATATATATATATATTTTATATTTGGGTTTACATTTACAAGATCAATTTAATTTTGTAGCCTAGTTATATCCTTTTCAAATTTTAATGCTTTATATATATATATTTGGAATAAAATGTAATTTGACCCTTAAACTATATTATTTTTAATAATTTAGTACTTATAAAAATAAATTCACGATTAATACCCAAACTTTATTTATGTCCAATATTTTACATCATTGACTACATCGTTAGTAAAAATACTAACAAGATAAATATTAACCGATAAAAATACTAACGTGATAACTATATATGACATTTTTAATTAGAATTGGGAGAGTGTTATGTGTTTTGTTCCTTAAAAATATATACATTTATATATTTATATATATATATATATATATATTTCCAGTGAACAGACCTTAGTTTAGTTCTTTGTCCATTCTGGGTATATTTTTGAGTACATATGCCACACAAGTGAAATATATAATATATACATATAACTAATAAGAATGAAAAGAAACACCCACCATGAGCCACCAGCCACCAGCCATCAGCCATGAGAGAGAGGGAAAAAAAGAGAGCATAGCACGTCTAACCCATGTGCCTAACAGGCCAAAATGTAGCTTAAAAGGGAACAAAAACAAGCACGTTGCCAAAATGTAGCAACTTTCAAATATATATTTCAACAACCAACATACCTAACTAATAATCATTTTCCCTAAACAGCACCAATCGCAGCTTTGATCTCGATAATGACCCTTCCTAAGATTGTCGCCAACCTTGAATTAAGTTTGATTTGTACTAAAACTTGTGATATAATTAGATCCAGTGCCACCACTTTGTCATGTCATTCTTGCACCGTAGCATACATATTAAAAAATATGTACCTTTTTCACCGCCTTCTTGTCTCAATTTCACAGCACAAACCTACATTTAACGATATTTTTATAAAAGAGATCGCAATTTAAGGTAAGATGAAAATGTTACATAAGTATCCTGATTTGATAATTATATGAGCTTATTGAATTAAACTGTAGATTCATTTTACAAAACAAATTATTCTTGATATGAAGTTAACCAATAATTTCAAAGTTGTCTCCGATGAGGTACCATTAATAATGCCAACGACATAATCACGTTCCCTCTAGAACTCTGAACATAAATATGTGGGAATTACAATTACTTTTGTGTCTGAAGTTGAATAATCTGCAACTTTTATCAGGAAAACCATCGGTTCCTATATGCTGTCACTACATTTGGTACTATAAAGGTAAACAAGCAACTTTAACATTAACAGGTAATTTTGATCTAAGCAACTTTAACATTAATTTCATGAACTAATAATAATGGGATTTGGACCACAGCAATCAGATTTACTATTTCATGGTACAGTAGTTGGGAAAAAAATTCAATAACAAAATAACATTGGTTTGCACCGAATCATTTAATTCAATGATTGATATGCTTGATCTTTCTATTCAAAGAGTAGAGTTCGAATTTTCTTTCTTTGGACAAAAGAAAAAGGAAAGAAAAAGAATCGATCCCTTCTCGTCCAGAGGTACTACATATCTATAAGGCAATGAAAGGGCACCAGGTCTCTTTGAAGTGATGTAGCCCCCATTGGATTTAAATCGTAATGGTTTGCATTGGAAAATCACGTGCATCTTGCCATCTTTTGCCGGTGATGCTGATGGCTTACCCTCCATTTGTGCTAATTATTCAAACAAATTTGTCGGAATGTTGGCGATTACTGAGCTAGAAATAAGTCTTTTTCCTCCTGTTTCTGGTCAAGCTGGCCGCTGGCTTTGAAAGTTACAAATTTTCTATCCAAATCATATAGCATTTTACCCATTAATTATTCTAACCTATACCTTCACACTTGAGAATGTACATAATCAACATATAGCTTCCTAGTGTATTTCTATTTATTGACTAACTTACATAACATAAGATATTATTTTTATCTTATCTTTTTTTTTTTTACTTGACCAATTTTTAATGTTTGCCCCATTATCCAATTAAAAAATCTTAGGCAAGTCCAATGAATCCAATCATTAAAATCTGGCTAAATTTTTATATATGAAGTTTAAAATATTTTCCCATTCTTTAACAATATAAGATGGAAAAAAATTTAAATTTATTACTTTATTTTCTGTGGTGGATCAAATTGATTAGTTATCTTTGATCGAATGCAATTTTGATATTGCACTTATTAATTTGATTAAAAATATCAAAATTAAAATATTTTTAAAACGTTCTTTTAATTTTTTCATAATATCAAAATTAAATTCCTAATATTTTTGTTAGCAGACATGTGATCTATTAATAATATATTAAAATCTTAATCAAATCTAACATTCTCAAATGCAAAATATATATATATATAATAATAAAATTACTTACACTTATTTCAAATAGTAAATTTGAATTATCATCATAAATATATTAAATGGTGAATTTAAATTTTATTAAAAAAAATTGTTCACTTTAAAGCAGAGAAAGATCACTTTGTATATAGCAAAAGCATGTTAAACAAGAAGAAAAAAAAAATCTACCATATGTATAGCTTAAGAAAGCTTTCCCTTAGCTACATTGCCTTCAATGATTAGAAGAATATAAGGAAGATTAGGGTTTCATAAGAAAAAGAAAAGTAGAAGGGAATGACAGGTTGGAATGCACAAAAAATTTTTTGTCCTAAAAGAGAATTGACAGATTAACAAAGGGATAATATTGTCAACTGCTCTATTCTGAAAAAGCTGACAAAAACCAATCAGAAAATCCAAATCACTTTCCGTAGCCTGCCAGCTCTAAAAAGATCAAAATTTAATTTAAAATTTTTATGGCTCCCTTTAGGCCTTGCTTTCTTTGTTGGTAGTGACCTTGCCTCGTAGTCATTTTTGCTTTTATAAAATCTGTCTGCCCTTAACTCCGAATCTCCTTTGAGCCACTATTCTTCTTTTTACTGCCATTATTATACATACTGATTAAAGGCTTGTTTCTATCTTCTTTCCTTTGATTCACAGCTACAGGAGTGAAAGAAATTGAAAAAATTAAAAAATTAAAAATGAATTGAAATTATAATGTTAGATTGATTCATATTAGAAATTTTTTATTTGATTTGGATTAAGTTGTGATATTATATATATATATATATTAAAGTTAGATCGAATTTTGAATCAATATGTAAAAATTGAAAAAAATTTGAACTTAATAGAATAATATATTTTTATTAAATTTTATATTTAAAATTTTTATAAAATAAAAATAATTATTATATATAAATCTATTTTAAATATATCAAAAATCTATTAAAATAATATATAAAAAATTAAATTTTAAAAATTGATAAACCGAATTGAATCAATTGAATTTGATTAAGATTAGATCAATTTTCAGAGAAAATC